CTTGGGGGCAAGAGGAACTGACACAAATATACTGATAATTCTTGTTGCTTTCTGTGCTGTTGAGCAATAAAGTACTTTGTCTCTGACCCAAGATTCTTAAGACTTACGCCAGCATCTATGAAACCATAGCAGATTAATTTATTAGCTTGCAAGGAGGATAAAATCTCAAATGCTTCACAGTTCACGACAATATAGTCATCCCTCTGTATACAAGGGGGATTGGTTCCAGGAAGCTCCCCTCTCCTCTCACCGCATGCATATACCAAAATCCACGCATACACAAGTCCCGCAGTCAGCCCTATGGAACTTGCCTGTATGAAAAGTATGCCCTCCATATATATATGGATTTTGCATCCAGAGAATACTGTCTTTCTGATCTGTGTTTTGTTAAAAAAAATCCCTCACAGTTGAAATCTGTATTGTTCAAGGCTCAACTGTAGTGCAAAAACATTATTAGCAATGAGAAATTTTTCCTTATACCATAAATTCACAGATATTTTATTTCCGAATTAGAATGAATCCTAGATTATTCTTTCTGATCGTAGGTGGGAAACTGAGAAAATTCCTAGGAAATTGCATATAAACTTTGGGTAGATTTAATTGGAAAACTGCATCAGATTGGTGGTTAACAGAAAAATTGTATGTTCTTATCCCATTTGTGCTAATGTCAATACAAAAAAGTTGAGGCATTCATTGAAAGCAGTAGAATAGAATCATAAACTATTGAACATTCATCTTTTTCTTATGAACCTGGAATGCTGATAATTCAGACCAACATTACTCAGCGTAATGGAGGTTAGATTATGCCAACTGACCTTTTCCTACCTTTTCTTTTTCTTTTTCTTTTCTAATTGACCTTGTTTTCCTTTTCATCCAAATTTTCCATTACTGTGCCCCAAGAGATTACCATATCTTCCTTAATAGAACAATAACTTCCACCTGGGTATGCAGAGTCATGGAAACTGTGTTCTTTGGTGCTGCTAACTCTTTTCTAAAATAAAATTTCACATTTTCTAGGGTTTTAAACTTTTCACTGTGGACTCTGGCCTTAGTTGTACTAGTAGCAATCTTTCTTCATAGGATGTTCAGTGTGCTGGCCTGGTATCATTATAATTTGACCACCTTGTTTTGTGGGGATAGTGTGACATTAGTTTTATTTTCTATCTGTTGGCATAATAAATGTTTACATTTATTCGAATGTTAGTATGTTAGAAAGCATCTTCAGACAAAAGTTTAAAAACAGGATGTTGAGGTTTGTCTTTTCCCCCATTAGTGGCTTGATAGTTTGCTTTAATTCTGTATAAAGACTTCCTTTTCATTGTGATGGTTCATTCATTAGCCAAACACATTTTCATTTTTTGTTAAGCTGAACCAACCTGTATTTATATGAGGTTGGAGAAAAGATCTTGCTTTAAAATAAGACATGAATAATATCTAAATTATATAGCATTTTCCTAACCCCTCTTACCTGCATTTATCCTCCACCATTCTCTATGCAACTTACATCTTAGCACCTATATTTTTTCTTATATTTATTCACATATATTAATAAATATCTCTTGTAAGATTCTGAAAGTCAGGTGTTTTAGTTTGCTAGGGTTGCCATAACAAAATACCATAGACTGAATGATTTAAACAACAGAAATTTATATTCTCACAATTCTGGAGGGAAGTCTAAGTCCAAGATCAAGGTGTCAGCAGGTTTTTTTTTCTGAGGCCTCTGTCCTTGGCTTGCAGATGGCCACCTTCTCTCTGTGTCCTCATGTGATTTTCTCTCTGTGTTGTCTATATTCTAGTATCGTCTTCTTATAAGGACATCAGTCATATTGGCTTAAGGCCCACTCTAATAACTTCATTTCAACTTAATCGCCCTTTAAGGGCTCTATTGCCAAATAAAGTCATGTTCTGAAGTACCAAGGGTTAGCGCTTCAACATATAAATTTTGGAGGGGCACAATTCACCCCATAACAGAAGGGAAACTTATTTGTCTTTGATTTGGGTTGACTAATGTAAATGTACACAAGCCATTATGTTTTGAGATCAATCCAGGCTTTGTGACATATCAAAATAGCCCCACTTATGTTATAATTACTTTATAAAATATATCACAGTAATTTCTTTGAAACTTCCTGAACACGAGTATTGCACTAGTCAGGGTTCTTGGTTGTCAACTCTGGTTACCATAAGCACATAAATGTAGAAGAAATTAATCAGAAGGGTATAGGAAGCTCACAAAATTGATGGGAAAGCCAGAGGAACAGGCTTGGAAAATTGACAGGAATCTACTGTTATAAGAACCACAGTTAAACATCTTCACGTGAGGAGTTGGTTATGAGGTTGCTTCCGCAGTGGGTGCTGGAAACTGCCATTGTTAGCAACTTCACCTCCAGTGCCAGGTCCTGGAGTCAGCTGCCATTGTCATCACCAGGACAGAATCTAAACTTCCTCCCTTCTCTGTGTCCTTCAGTTCAGGATAAAAGTCCTGTCAGGAATCAGCTGGAGCAGGTGCCTGACCTTTTTGGTGGGAAATGGGACCCTGGTTTCCATTAGAATGCACCAGTGGCAGACTGCCCAAACATAAGAAGAGGGTCAAGATGCGGGACCACCAAAATATGTCCAGCCTCTTGGTTCAAATGGCTGATATAATTAACTCATGGTTTTTCTCTGTCGTATCATACTGAAAGGTCTGTCTTTCTCTTTGTAAAATAACTTGAAAGCCTTATTTTTATTATGAAATTTTCAACTAGTAAAGGAGCCATTTCTGGATAAAGTAAAAAAAAAAAAATTACTGATAGACATCAGATCCAATTTAGGTCATTGTGATGGATAATTTTAAGTGTCAGCTGGGCCACAGGGTGCCCAGATATTTGGCTAAATATTATTCTGTGTATATCTGTAAGGGTGTTTCTGGATGAGATTTGAATCTGTAGACTAAGTAAAGCAGATTGCCCTTCATAATGTGGGTGGGCCTCATCCAATCAGTTGAAGGCCTTACTAGAACAAAAGACTTAACTCCTCTGAGCAAGACAAAATTCTGCCAGCAGACAGCTTTTAGACTTGAACTGCAGTATTGGCTCTTCCCTGAATCTCAGCATGCTGGCTCACCTTGTAGCTTTTGGATGTGCTAGCCTCCACGATCATGAGTCAGTTGTCATATTAATAGGATGAGTACTACTATGTCACTTAAGAAACAGCTGTGTGCTGCATAACTGCAATCTGGTACACTACATACAGCTCTCCTATATTAAAGCTTGTTTTCAACTATTAGGATATCATAGAAACTAAAGAAGGAA